GATCATGGAATGGGTTGAAAATCACATGGAAGGATGGAAAGATGCTAGATAGCATTTCGAAACGCACACAGAGTGGCTAGACGGGGGCCTGGCAATCACGTCCGGGGTTCTTGATGTATGTTCCCGGATCTTGGCAAGGAGTAGGAATAAGAGAGAAGCGGAGTGTCTCAGGAGGATTGAGGAGGCAGAAGATAAGATGGAGGGGCATCCCATCTCAACTATGGTGTGGGCAGCGGAGCAGGAAAGGAGGATGGGTGAGTGGGACAGGATGCAGGTGGAGAAACAACAAAGATGGGTGCAGATCCTGAAGGTAAAGGGACTGGAAACGAACGATAAAGTGAGCAAGGAATCCTTTCAAAAACTCCAGCCAAGACGTGCGCAGCAGCAAATGATAGAGTTGAGACACCCGTTTGATGATGCAGCCCCCACAGCCTGTACGGCGGTAGGGATGTTGAAGTACGCGAACCTGCACTATGAAGACATTCTCAGGACCAGAAGACCGAACGAGGACGTGGACACAGACCTGTCTCAGCAATCAGATATGTGGGAGGACACATCAGTACAGCTAAGCACAGCAGCGAAGCTAGATATGGACAGGCCGGTCACCCTGGAGGAACTCACCCAAACAGTGAAAACTATGGCGCGAGGCAAGTCCCCAGGAGTTCACGGCCTTACCGTAGAGTTCTACTCCGTGAACTGGGGCGTGTTCGGGCCGCTACTAGTGGAGTTGTACAACAAAGTGTTGGTAGGAGGGAGACTGGGGAAAGGGATGACTCACGGGGTGATCACATTGCTGTTAAAAAAAGGTGACAAGTCTGTGGTAAAAAACTGGCGCCCGATCTCCCTGTTGAATGTGTCCTATAAGATCCTCGCGAAGTCGCTGGCACGCAGACTATCCAAGCACCTCCCGAAATTGGTAGAAAAGGACCAGGGGGCGTTTGTGCAAGGGCGGTCTATATTTAACAACATTGTGACTGCTATAGAAACTCTGGAGATCGTGCAGTCCGAGGGCTTAGACACCGCAGTCTTGCTGCTGGACCTGGAAAAAGCGTACGACAAGGTGGGTTGGACATTTGTCCTTACCACCTTGAAGAAGATGGGGGTTGGGACTGGGTTCTGCACGTGGATCAAGGCAATGTACACGAGTTCCTCATCCGCGGTGATGATCAACGGGCACCTCTCAAGACCGTTTCAGTTGTTCCGTTCGCTAGGACAAGGTTGCCCCCTGGCCCCACTGGTCTTCGTGTTGCAGATGGAGGTATTGCTCAACAGAGTTCGGCGCAATCCAGACATCAGGGGACTACCACTGCACAATGGAGAGGAGTGCAGGGTAAAAGCGTTGGCGGACGACCTGTTTGCAGTAAGTGACAACACACCCAGCTCTCTGTTGGCACTAAGGGGCATCCTAAGGAAGTACTCCACTCTCTCGGAGGCTTCGGTGAACTGGCACAAATCTACCTACTTACTACCAGAGCAGTTTTCCCTCAGCGTAGAATGGGGGATGAAAAGGGTGGAAAAGGGGGAAGAGGAAAGATTTCTCGGGGTGCTTATCAGCCTCCAGGTGGGGACATCAGCACAAGTGTTAGTCCTGCAGCAGCGTATTGCGGCAAAGCTCAACATGTGGGGAATTGCCTGACACGTGTCACTGATAGGGAGGGCTCTGGTTATAATGTTGCACTGTTTTCCATATTATGGTTTGTGTCCACGGTTAGAGAACTAGCAGCTGGGGTGTTAAAAGCGATCAAACGCCTGGTGGCCAGGTTCCTGTGGAAACCACGGGCGAAATCCACAGAAGGCTTCATTTCGAAGGTTGCACTGGACACTTTAACCTTCCCACGAGCGAAGGGAGGATTGGGATTAGTGGACCCAGCCAGGAAAAACCAGGCGCAGCTACGGGGCTGGCTGGCCAAAGCAGCAAATTGCTGTACTAGGGAACAATGGATGACGCTAGCAGAAAGGATCCTGATGATGGAATGGGGACTCAGCAGACCAAAGGATGTGTGGTGCTGCTTTTTAATGCCCTCATTTCGGAAGAAAAAACTAAAGTCAGGGTTTTGGGAAGCAGTCCAAAAGGCGTGGAAACAACACCCACCGGACGTTCGGAATCCGCCCACGACAAGGGATGAGGTGCTGGATCAGCTGGTGTTTGACACTGCAGAGATTCGAGACAGTTCTGGAAACATGATGGTAGAAGATGGTTCCCCAGGAACCTTTGGGCTTGCATGGGTCAAGAGGGGAATAGTCAAAATCGAAGATCTGTGGTCCACAACCACGGGGAGTTTGAGGACTCTAGGTGAGATAAAGAGTATCTTAAGAGGGCTACAAAGGGTGGAAGAGCACTGGACGACGGTACTACAGTCAATCCCTGCAGATTGGCTGTTGAGATTGGGTCCAGAGGGAGTAGACCCCACCGGAACTTGGTACCTCTCAAGCGCGGAAGATGCTGAGAAAGTGTTGTGGAAGGTTAAGGAAGTGTTACCCAGTGGATTCAGGAGGGTTGAGAGGTGGCGCAGTGAGGGAACCTCGAGCTCTCTATGCCTATTGGAAAAGGTGACAGTGTGGGCCTGGGACAATCCAGCACAGGTTAGGGTGGTGGAAACGAACAGGAGGGCCCGCACAAGGAAGGCTCCGTACTGGATTGGAGGAACAACGCTAAGGCAACTGCAGATTGACCCCTTATCTTGGAGCTGGTCGCCCACTACAGGGGAAGACGCACCGCTGAGTCTGGTGGACTACTCAACTGCCCAGGGATATCTGAGAGCAGCCCCCAACAGGAGAACCCCAGCCCAGATCGCCACCGCCAGGTGGCAGGCAGTATGGAGTGAAGACCTCTCCCAAGCATGTCCAGAGTTCGACAGACTGTGGAATATCCTGATCGA